AAAAAAAAAAAAAAACCACCAGGTCTAATGCCAAAGCCCGTCAGGTTTAATAAATAAATAAATAAATAATTTAAAAAATTAAAAAGATGACCCTCAATAATCTTCCTTAACTCTCAAGGTTTTATAGGCTTAGGTCCACCTTTAACAACCTCATGCCAGGGCCCAGCAACATACGGGGCGTACTCAGAGGTGGCTCTGCAGTCCATTCATCTACCTCCTTGTCACCCAGACAACCACACACACACACCCCCCAACACCCATTCAGGGTTCTGGGTCGTTCTGCCTCAACTTCCTCATCTATGGAAAACCTATTCCTACTCTGCTTTCTACTTACCTTCCCAAACCACATACTCCTCCCCCCCCTTCTATTATTATATCCAAAAGAAGTGATATGAAATTCTCTATACAGAAGTAGAGATTTTTATACTAGCATTCTGCTCAAGAATGGCATGGGGAACGGCATGTGCAGTCACCATTACATTATCCAAACGGGAGAGCAGGAGCCCCACTTCACAGCTTTATTCTGATCTATTTATCAGTCTGTACTAAGAGCCAAGAAGTGAATGGCTTGACTGTATTAAGACAATACTGAATAGGACCATTTACCCCTTTAGTACTATTCCTTATTTAGACCAATTATCTCCTACAAAATGATTAATGAGAGCCAACTGTATAAATATTTAAGGAGAACATGAAGTATTAGCTTACATAAAGACATCAGCCTGGCTAGTTGGTACTTGAGGGTCTTAACAATTCCAACTCAATCCAGCTAAGTACTATATTGAGTATTACACGAACCTACACCTAGAAGAGTGAGGAGACAGCCTAATTTTTAAGTGAAAGTTGTTTTAGTTCCATTAGTAACTTCACTTTTGAATTTACCTATTTTCTTCCCTAAAGTAAAATAAAAAATAAGATTAAAGAAAACTGAAAGGCCAGAGGCTAAATATAATAGTTCCAAACATACAAAATATGTCAGCAAAAGTAAACGTGCTAATGAGCAAAGTAAAGTACGCACGTTTGAGAAAAGACAGTTCTTCAGGTAAGTTTAGCCTCTGAGAATGTAAAGAGATTCAAGTGTCTAAATTAAGATTTTCAAGACAATTTAAAATGTTCATTCCATATATGAGTACAAGCTACAATAGCTTAGAATAATTTTGCACCAAAGACTGTCCAAACTAAGTCTATATCTTTTTTTTTTTTTTTTGGTGAAGAAGAGTGGCCCTGAGCTAACATCTGTTGTCAATCTTCCTCTTTTTGCTTGAGGAAGATTGTCCCTGAGCTAACATCTGTGCCAATCTTCCTCTATTTTGTATGTGGGACGTCACCACAGCATGGCTTGATGAGCAGCATGAAGGTCCGTACCTGGGATCTGAACCCGTGAACCCCAGGCCACTGAGGCAGAGCGCATGAACTTAATCACTATACCACCAGGCTGGCCCAATAATTTCAAGGATTTATAAATTGTTCAGTAAGATTCCTTAGATGTTTTCATATCTTTTCCTCCATTACCTTCCTCAATGCAGAAGCCCTTCTTATCTCTATCTTGGTATAGTAGTTAAATACAAATTTAAGAAAAACCAAATAACATATATAATTAGAAGTTACAAGTATGTTGTGGGAATACATACAACTGCAGGATAAATTACCTGCATCACAACTAACATTATAGCAACTTCATTATTTGTACTATCTAAATGTTAAATAGTTAAGAATAAGGTTGGTTTTTTTTTTTTATTGCAGTAACACTGGTTTATAATAGTGTATAAATTTCAGGTGTACATCATTATAAGGAATAAGGTTTAAACATGCAATTACAACCTTTAGTCAATACTTAGTATTTTATTTTATTCGTATAATCTTATTCATATTATTTTTCCTTTTTTTAATTCTTTACATAAAATATTTTCTTCTTCCCATAAATTCTCAATTTTACCACTAATAAAGCTTTTCCTAAAGAAGTTTTAAAATCAAAGGTAAATGGTCGTCTTCCCTCTCCTCGCCTCCATTCTCCAGTGGGCCCGGTTTTCTGGCCTCTGCAGCGTTTCCGTAAGTGTTCAAAAACTAGACGGTGTTTTAAAAATAGAAGGCACAGAAAAAGGAATGCACCTTCAACAGCTATGAGAAATATTTGGCCCAACTTGAAGAAACCTTTCCTGTGAAGCCAAGGGAACAGCAAACCTCCTGCTGTTCCCATCTCCTTCCAAACTTCTCATCTAGACCATTTCACACATGAATGAAAATATTCTGAATAACTTCTCTCTACTGCACGGCTATACACACAGATAACGCTTTCTGCTACCAGCTGACTGTGGACACTGGATCACCATGACGAGTGATTAAGTCCTGAAGGCCATCAAACTGGCCTACTCTATAAAATATTTGAAGATAAATTACTAGAATCATGTACAGAATATACTTTTTTTAACCAATATAATTGAACATCAAGAAAAAAAGAAGAGTAATGAACTTGCTGTGACTCTGTAACATACATTTAAAATACTATATAAGAGCTATGATAAAGGCCTAAATTTATTCATATACAATTCTATTTGTTAATGTTCTCTCTCAAATTCTGCATGTCATTTTTAGATGGACTACTAAATAACACTAAGATAAAACTCTGTAATCAAAATCTGCTTCTCCAGATTTTTTTAAGGAGTTTAAAATACTTCAATCCAACAATTACACAACTGACATGTACACATGTGAATCAGCTTCAGTTCTTACATCATTTCTTAAGTCAAAGGACTTCTGAATACGGCCAGTTCCCACACGTGAACAGGTGGGGTTCTAAGTTTTAGAACTCAAGACACTGGGTTCCCCAAAACGTCCGTGAAACTCCCTTTACCTCATAATAGAGTTAACCTACATAAAAAGACGATGAATTTCCTTCCCCTTTTTGGACACCTGATCAAGTCTAGGCAAAATGATGAGACAAAGTGATCCTTGTCTTTTCCCATGCACCTCCTCCCTCTCCCCCAAACAGATGTACTAAAACTCCAAAACCACTTCTCTGTCTACCCCAATCTAGCTGACCCTCTATAAAGGCAATACTATTGCAGTCATTTACATAAATCCCTTACTATTTAATGCCTATTGTTTGATATGCAATAAATTATCTTTGCAATTTCAATTTCGTTGTAAATCCAAACTCTGTTGATCCACTCTTAGCTAGAAATTCAAAGTTTGGGGTTTCCATAACCCCACTAATCACTAAAAGAAATCTATAGGGAAAGTACTGTGTTCCAATGCATTTACTTAGCCACTTCAAAGCACTCTTCATCTGGCCAAGTATATCCCTCAAGAAGATGTAGGCAAAGAAATGTCTAAAATAAATTAAAGTGAAGGCACACCAATGGGCAAGGTATATTCCTTTTTGCATCACACCTGCTGCATTAAAAAATGGTAATCTTGGACACGCATCTAAAAGGTGTGGAAGGACACACTCCAAATTCTAAGTAATTCCTAGTGAAAGAATCAGGGGGACAGGGAAGTTTCTCTTTTAGTGACACACTCCTATACTGTCTACAGTTTTTAATAATAAACATATTACTTGTGTAATTTCTTTTTAAAATCAGTAGAAAACATAAAGATCAGTAAATTCAACTGCGGGCAAAGATTTTAGAATGATCTTCTGGGAAAAGATAATGTAAACAATCATGATTCTAACAGATAAAATGCTTATTGCCTTTATGTTCTCAAAGCACTTGACCAGACTATTCCTTCTAACAGTTCTATCCAATTTTATTTTCACTTCATAGAATGCAAAAAACTTTCAGATCATTTGACCCTTAGATTCTTGCCCCAAAATTTCACAGCCTAATTCACTTCAGAAGCACAGTAAGGAAACAACAAAACTGTACTACATTTTACCCCACGACAACTGTAATTAACATGCAGAAATTTCCATAGGTGAACAAAAAGCCCACTGCTGTTTTCCTGACTTTGAACCCTACAACTTCTGTTAAAATGTCCAGTTAGAAATTTAAAATAACACTAACACAAACTTAAAATGACCATCACGTGTTGAAACGGTACTATGGGTCTAATAGTGCTAAAGTTTGCAAATGAAGAGGCTACTGAGTTCAAACTCTAGCACAGATACTTAAAATTCAAATTGAGGAGAGGAAGGTAGATAACACTGCTGAACAACATGGCTTACTGTTCCAATGGGTCTGTATGGAACTAAAATTAGTACGAAAACGACCTTCTCATAACTTTCATAATTCTACAATTACAAAATGGGAAGAATTTGAATTTTTTTTTCTTTGACACTTTAGCCACACTTGGTTTTAACTTAATACATTTTATGCCTAAAAATAGAAAAGTTTTGTAATAAAACTAAGAATTTTACCAGCTGACAATGGTAGGAGGTGCTAGTGCCTTCAGGATATGCACCTTTGTGTCAACACCTGTCAGAACAAACATGAGGACAAGCATTACCACTCGCGGGTAATCAGAGCCAAATACCAACCTTCTCCTGGAGATATTTCTACTTCTACACCTCACATGAAAATTTCTGTAGTGTTTTTCTGGAAATACCATATATCACACTAGCAAATGACATTTTATCACATAACTTGTCACCAAAAAAGCATATAGCACTACGCACCAATAAGAACGGCCAAAATCCAAAAGCTGACATCACCTGTACAGGTGATGAATGTAGGACAACAGGAATTCTCATTCATTGGTGGTGGGAATGCAAAATGCTAAGTCCACTTTGGAAGTCAATTTGGCAGTTTCTTACAAAACTAAACATACACTTACCACATGATCCAACAAATGTACTCCTTGATATTTACCCAAAGGAATTGAAAATTTATGTCGACAGAAAAAACTGCACATGAATGTTTATAAAGCAGCTTTATTCATAATTGCCAAAACTTGAAAGTAACCAAGATGGCCTTCAGCAGATGAACAGATAAACTGTGGTACATCCAGACAGTGGAATATTATTCAGGGCTAAAAAGGACCTATCAAGCCATGAAAAGATATGGAGGAACCTTACATGCCTATTACTAAGCGAAAGAAATCAATCTGAAAAGGCTACATAGTGTATGATTCCAACTATATGACATTCTGGAAAGGGTAAAGCCATTGAGACAGTAAAAGGATCAGTGGTTGCCAAGGGTTAGGGAGGAAAGTGGGATGAACGGGCAGAGCACACAGAGGCTTTTTAGGAAAGTGGAACTGCTCTGTATGATACTATAACGGTAGATACATGTCATTACACATTTGTCAAAACCCATGGAATGTACAACACCAAGAGTGAACCCTGACGTAAATAAACTAAGGAGTTTGGGTGATACTGATGCATCAATGCAGGCTCATCAACTGTAACAAAGGTACCACTCTGGTGTAAGATGTTGACAGTGGGGAGGCTGTGCATATGTGAGGGCAGGGGCTGTATGGGAAATCTCTATCTTCTGCTCAATCTTGTTGTGACCTAAAACTGCCCTAAAAAATAAAGTCTGGGTTGTTTTTTTTTTTTAAATAGGACATCCAAAACTGTTTTTTAAAAAGCATATTGAGTTTATTCACATGATGGTCAAGAAGAATAATTACTGAGACTTATAAACAGTATTTCACTGTGTATACAACACTTTTATACATTATCTCAATGATTTTCTCAATCATTTGTGAAGCAGGTAAGTTAGCTGTCATCATAGTCATTTAAAAAAATCTATTAACACCAGCCCAAACTCACAGAGCTGGTAAGTAGAGCTAACAGATTTCTGAATCAAAATTCAGCACACTATTGCCTCATTATTAATTTCCTCATTCCCTACAAGGCAGCCACATATCAGATATACTAAAAAAAGGTTAGGCCTTAAAACCAGATATATCTGGGTACAAAATCCTTCTCGGTTTCTTATTAGCTATGACTCTAGACAAGTTCACTCATTTATTCATCCATCTATCCATCTATCCACCCAGAGGAGAAAAAAATCCTATAAATTTACTTGTTATTTCTTGTGTCAGTTTCCTTGTATGTAAATGAGGACAGTAGCAACATATATAAACAATTCATATCCATAATATTTGTGGAATTTCTATAAACAAAAAAGACAACTCAACACAAAAAAATGGGCTATGTAAATTCAGAGAAAAATTCCAAATGTCCATTAACTATAAAAAAAGGTCAATCTTACTAGTTATTAAAGATATGCAAATTAAAACAATATTATTTTCCTCCCCCATCAAATTTTTTTTAATGAAAAAAAAAAATCACAAGAATTGTCAAGGATATAGGAAACAAGACAATTCTTGGCACTGTTGGGAAGTGCAGCCACTTTGAAGAGCAATTTGGAACCATCTAGCAAAAGCTGAAAATGTAAATTCCTAGGACCTCACAAATCCCTTCTGAGACATTTGCCCTGGAAAAACTCTGGCACACGTGCATACTTACTTTATCCTGTCTTGTTCTGTTTTGTTAATTAAATGGTCAAACAGGACAGGTCCTAGCATTTAACTGGCTCGCAGCAAATGGTGAGTCTCCTCAACAAATACTTACTGCACGCCTACTCGGCTCCAGACCCAACGCTTCTCATTCTGGAAATGAGACGACAGTACTCGAAAAGTTCCTACTCCAGTGGGAGACACTGACAAATCATTCTGACACAGCAAAGACTACTGGAGAAGTACACAGAATGGATTGAGAAAACAGGCAAATGCAGTCTTGTGTCTAGGAGGGGAAGAGAAGGTCAAGGAAAAGTGACTAGGAGTTGAGTTGATCCATGTATTTTGGCCAAGTGGACACGAAGACAGAGAACTGCAGGCAATAACAACAGTACTTGCAAAAGCACAGAGGTATACAAGAAAAGGACAATTTAAGAAAACCGTCAGGGCCGGCCCCGTGGCCTAGCAGTTAAGTGCGCGCGCTCTGCTGCTGGCAGCCCGGGTTCGGATCCCGGGCGTGCACTGACGCACCGCTTGTCCAGCCATGCTGAGGCCGCGTCCCATATGCAGCAACTGGAAGGATGTGCAACTGTGACATACAACTATCTACTGGGGCTTTGGGGGGAAAAAAAAGGAGGAGGATTGGCAATAGATGTTAGCTCAGGGCCGGTCTTCCTCAGCAAAAAAAGAGAGGAGGACTAGCACGGATGTTAGCTCAGGGCTGATCTTCCTCACAAAAAATAAATAAATAAATCTATAAATAAAAAGAAAGAAAGCTGTCAGTACTTGAGGAGGCTATCCTGGATTATCCAGTGGTCCCCAACTGCTATCACGGGCGTTTTTACAAGAGAGACTCAGTGGGAGATTCGACACACACGTAGAAGGCGATGTGAAGACAGGGCAGAGAGATTTGAAGATGCTGACCCAGAAGACTGGAGTGATGCCACCAAATGCAGCAGTCATCAAAAGCTGAAGAGGCAAGAACAGATTCTTCCCTAGAGCCTCTGGAGGGAGCGCAGCCCTGCCAGCACCTTGAATTCTGCCCAGTAATGCTGACTCACCCAGTAATGCTGATTCAAAGTGTGCCCTCTATTAACTGTAAGAGAATAAACTTCTGTTGTTTCCAGCCACCAAATCTGTCGTGTTACAGCAATCCTAGGAAACAAACGCAGTACCTCACTGCCATTGCCCTGTATGCCACCCACCCTAAGTGGTCTGACATTATCAAGGTCTCTGAAGAGCCATCCAGACTTTCATGCAGGAGAATGGCATAATCAGGTCTCTGTGTCATAACATGAAATCTACCGCCAATGTTGACAATTTATTGATGGCAAAATAAACTATAAGCAGAAAGCTATATCAGAACCAAAAATCCAGACAGATGAAGTTCTGGGTCACCATGTGTTGGAGAAAAACCATCACGATGAAAAACAGAGACGAAAACAAAAAGAAAGGGGGAAAAACAGAGACGAAAACAAAAAGAAAGGGGGGAAAAGGGAACTCAATGGAAACCGACAACATAGGAAATGGGGGGAACTTTAAATATGTTTATGTAATTAATATTCTCAAAGTGATAAGAGGCTGTTACATCCACGAAACAAGAATAGGATGCTATACAAAAGGATTAAAGATAAGAAAAAGCTCTCGGAAATTAATAACAGAACCTGAAATTAAAAATCAAGAGATATATTAGAAACCGAAGTTGAGAATATTTTCCCAGAAAGGAAAGCAAAAGCAAAGTAGAGAACAAGAGTCAAAGATTTTTTTAAATAAGGTATCAAATTAATCCAAAAGATCCAAGTTCTACTAAAAGGAGTTCCAGAAAGAGAGAATGAAGAGAATGAAGAGGCAGAAAGTACTGAAGCATTCTGGAATGAAATATTCAGAGCTGATGGACACTAGTCTTCAGACGGAAAGGCCTGCTGAGCGCTGAGCAGATGCAGGGGGGAAAAAATAACTGACCTCCAGACACAGCCCTGTGAATTCTCAGAGCTCCAGGTATAAGAACATCCTAAAAGCTTCCAAAAACAAAAACCAGGTCACCTACGAATAAAATGATTCTATAATCGATCAACAAACAAGGATACTTTCAGAATAAAAGCAGGTGCTATTATAAGATACAATTTGGGGGTGTTCCAAACAAACCAGGATGTATAGTCACCCTTCCTATAAAGGAAGAGGAACCATCATAGCATCAGATGTCTCAGCAACACTGGAAGCTACGCTATGAACAATGCCTTCACAATTTTAAGGGAAATGAATTTTAATCTAGAATTCTACTCCCAGCTAAATTCCTGATCAATCACAGGTAGAATAAAGAAACTGTATTATATAGACACGCAAGGACTCTGAAAATTTACATTCCACATACACACTCTGCTAAGAAATTACTTTAAAAAGTCCTCCACCGTGTGCATATATTCCTTTGATAAAAGTTTTAAAAACAATTTTCTTAAAGCCAGAATTGATTTGTTTTATAATCCATTTTACAAGAGCTAGTACAATGCTGATTCCAAAACCTGATGTACCACATAGGATAATCTCTCTAGTGAACATGAGAAAAAATCCTAGAATATCAGCACATCTAATCCAGCCAAGTTAAAAGAATGATTCACCGTAACCAAGCATGGTTTACCCGACAAGTACAAAGACGGCTCACTGTTAGGAACTGAGGTGTTTTCCAACACCAACAACCAATCTGATTCCCCAGATACCAGGAGGGTGTTCAACAATTCAACTCAATTCTGACACTAACTACCCAGCGTTAGGGCAGATCCCACACGGCTCAGTCCCACAGGACTGTTCTCCACTTCAGTCGCCAGTCGCGAGTCCCCAGCCAGCTTATAAACCAGTGATTCTCACAACCCCCTCCTCAGGTTCATAATTTGCTAGAACAGCTCACAGAAATCAGGAACAGCCTTTACCTATGTTTACCAGTTTCTGATAAAGGATAGAACTCAGGAACAGCCAAATGGAAGATGTGCATAAAGCAAGGTATGGGGGGAGAGGGA